ATGTGCTATTCATCTTCGAACATGTTCAGCGTCCAGCAGTATTTCTGACCAGCTGCAGGGTGAGAAGCACCCCATTGTCTAATTGACACTGTCAGGAATGCAGAGCTAGGTGTTACATTGGCTGCAGACTTCGCTATGCTTTAACAGCATACAGTCATTCTCATTAACCACTACTGCACTGAGTGTTAGATCCGTTGCGGAGCCGGCTTTACAATTAGACAAAAATTGGAGATCACAACTTGTCACATTTCATGGTGACGCATGAGGGACTCACTCTACGGTCGGTCACCCTATTCTTCCTTTGTTACTTCCCGCCCTACGAATCATGAACTTTCCATTGGGATGCCTATCAGTAGAGTTAGATACTCAGGTAAGGTATGATGCTCATCGGCTTGAGGTCTGGTGGTCTTTCTCACTACTGACTTTCGCCAATAATGCCATTGCGTTTGCTACTGAACATTTATGTAAAGAATTAAAGAATGTATAAAGGTTTTTTTCTGATCGTCATTGAACTTTGTTACTTAAATTTAGCATGATTTATGATATATTTATTTGTAGTTGATTGTGGTGACAATGAATGAGTCGACTCGGCGGAAGTCCTTCGATTCTACCGTTGCTGACTATACTTTTACTGGATGGGTAATCACTTACACCCTGCTTCGTTTACATATGATTTAACAGACAAAATTTTAGAAAAGTTATATGAACGCAAAGAAATCAAAGCTTTCGAATCAGTTTAAAAATGATCTGACTGAAGAAGGGGACTCGTCAAGACATTCGTTAATTTTTCAAGGTGTTTCGATCAGCGTCAACGGATACACAAGTAATTGAACTTTGTTTTGGATAAAGTTTTTTTAAAGTGCCATTTATACTTTTCAAAGTCTTAGTTATTTTGCGAAAAAAGTTTGCAAACTGATGTAGGCACTGGTTTTTGATTTAAGTGTACAAAAGTTAGTTTATTTAAATAGATTTTCTTCTTTCAGTATTTTAAATACTTACTTTAATTTAGATTGAGGGAGTGAGCAACCGCTGAGAAATCCAGAGGAACATCAATTGTTGACTCAAAAACAACAAAAATATTCAAAATTATGAAGATTAGACATCCTTGGCGCCAGAGCAGGGCTCGTCATCCGAAAAGTGGGAAGGCAAGCCTGACCCTATTCACAGGTGACTTGCAACCTTAGTTGTGGGTTTGGCTCCGGATTTAGCTGCGGTTGCGCACTCCGTGGATCTAAACTAAACTGTTTAAATAATTATAGAAAATCTATTTATATTAACTAATATTTGTAACAGT